GTTTTCTGCAGTTTTCAGGCTAGCATCAAAGTCAGCTCTTTTATCCACTCTCCGTTTTAACAGTGCATACTTCTACGAAGTAAAAAGACACGAGAAACGTTTGGATTTTCAGGTCTAGAAGTTGCTTGACTGTTTACTGACTGATTGATAGACTGGTAGACTTACTGGCGAGCTGAACAATCTATTGATTGGTTTTAGTAGTAATCGATCTGATTCAGGAACAGATCGAACCATTGTATCGATTGATAATCGGTTGTAAAGGGATTAATCAATCAATCAATCAATCAATTATGCATCGATATATCCATTAATGGGCCAGTTGATCGAGTCATCGATCATCTGATCTATGCAGTGACAATGACTTTTTTGAAGGTTCTACTTTACCTTTTCAGTAAAAAACATTCATTTCCATCAGCATGCGCTGACATTTATTCACACCTGTTTTTTTATTGAGTTTTTAACAATTTCCGCGTGTATTTTTGCTTTCTTGCAAACAAGTGTGCATTTGAGCCATTCTTTTTGGGGCAATCATTATTTTCAGCTGTCCTGAGTAAGATTTCCACTTGCCTTTTGAATTGATTAAGCCAACTTTAAGATTTGGCTAAGCGCAGAGGATTTCATTATTGCACTGTTTTCGACTTCATTTACAATCTATTTGAACCTTTTAGGCCAAAAGGTTGGACTTAAATGAGACAGCTTATTGAAAAGGTGTTCTGGAATTGTCTTTCTGAAAAACATGCATGAAACTGAACTTTTTTAAAATTAAATTTTCTGGGAAAACTTTCATGTACTCACACAAAGGGTACAAACTGGCAAAATACATTGCAAACAACTAATTAAAAACCTGCAAAATTCAAACATTTTGTTAATATATTTCGTTACGGTTAATCAGTCATGATCGTAAGTTTTAGCCACTGCCAAACATTAGAGTGCACTTTTGTAGATTTTCCTGGACTCGGTTTTCTCTTCTTTGCTGATTCATTGTTCATGTACCTAGCAAAAGAAAATGTCAATCCCTCTCTCAGAAATATTTTCAGTAGGTAAATTCTGGGTTCACAATTTGAACAGAAACACCTATGCACCGAACCATGTCTTCCCGAGATGAAGTCCCAACAACAGCGCCCCCAATTCCATAAACCATGCACTTTTCAGTGCACTTAACTAAATAGGAGTGTAAGAGAATTTTCACACAACGAAGTGTACAATAAAAATTCATCGCAGCTACACTTTAATCGCGTCGAGCAACTACATTATTTCCTCATCGTTAGGGCGACGGTAGATTCCCGCATTGCGAAATAGAATGTACGGGGCAAGCAAATCCCTCCCACGCGTGGCAACTTTATTTACGGTGTCTTTTGTCGTGAGATCAACTCACCGTGTAAACATTAATTGAGGTATTGATGACTCATCGCTGGTAGCAATCCTTGAACTTGGCATCGCAAGGCAGTATTTCCTATCCGATATTCAGTAGGACGCCCTCTGCCAAGTCTGGTTCGCTGACCTGGAGATTTCCGGTGACTTTTTTTTTTAATCACAATCACACACCAGTTTGGAGTACACAATAATAAATTTTCGCAAAGGAAAATCTTTTTACTGCCAGTCTTGAGAACAGACTAGGTTTCACGTATCGTGGAAGCTTCCCCTGTTTAAATTTGGGCTTCACTTTCTTCAGGGGCCTAAAGAGAATCCTTCCCCCACGATGACATAGGGAAAGACGGCAAGTACGGGTAGGATTCGACTGAAGACAAATATTTATCAAGGGAGGGATGGCGAGAAAAGGTACTATGACATGACAGAACAAGTAGGAACAGGAATTCCATCCTAGGGTCATGTCTGGTTACCTCGGCTTGTTGTGTTAAAAAAAATGGAGAGTGGGCATTGTCTGCAATGTAGTAAAATTACCACAATGCATTGTAACCACATTGTTTCCTTCACAAAATGGTGCGAAAGAGATTACGCCGTATCCGGACTATCTGGCTACGGTTCGCAATCAGACGACAGTTTCCCCATATTTCTGCAAGCCGTGTAGCCAAGCCAATCCAACAAGCCACAAGATAATTCCTTTGCCGTTCCATTACAGTGGGCGCCCTCCAGTGCCATTCCTGCCACAACGTTATACCGCCCTACCCTGACTGCGAGAAGGCACTGAACTGGAAACCCTTCACCGACTGCTCCTCGAGATATGGCTTCGTCACTCGCTGCGGAAACATGAATGGCATCTTGAGTTCCAGGTATCACCAAGGTAACAATGCATTTTTTTGTCATTGACCAACAGAGCGCAAAGAAAATAGGAGTAGGTCCCTTGACGGGAACCATTGTGAATTGATGGTATTTTTTGTTTGTTTCTTGTATTGTCAGGTGAAAAATAAAGATGCATAGATTAATTGACTATTTAACTGACTGATCAATTTGTTGGTTGTTATAGTGATATTGAGGTCCGTCATTTTCTTTAAGGACCAATCAAAATCTGATGCAGCTCCTTTATAATAACAGACTTTAGAGACAATTAGTCGTGACGAAAACTTCCGTTTCTTTTTCATTGTTTGCATGTTTTTGAGCAAGCGCACATTAGCTCAAAGTGATATAAACAAGAGGCCCGGCATGTTTGCCGCCACCAAGCGGAATCCGGCCCCTCGGAACTCAGGTGTCCCACACTCGATCTTTTTTCAAAATTTGATGAGCAGGCATTGTGACATCTCTTTCTCTTGAAATATCAATGATTTACAGCTCTATGACTTCTTTGAATTTGCCGTGGACCAACATTTTTATGTTTTGAACACAACACATTGAGAGGGATTATAGTTGTCCGCGAGATGGTCTTATAGAACATCCACAATTGAGCCTCACCAATTTAAGTGTTGTTAGGCGTGTTGAGGACTTTTTGAAACAGCATCTATCTTTCTCTACTTATGCAATAGTGTTGTACAGTTAGATATCATTAGAATCCATGTTATGGAAAATCCCTTGCATTATAAGCTCTGGGTATGAAACATCATGGAAAAACCACCGAGGAATTAATTTCACAGTCGCATAATGATGTACTCGTTGTTAATGCATGGTTTTGTCCAGATGTCTTTTTCTTTCTTTTCATTAATGCACAGTGTTCAGTGAACTGAAGGATGTTGAACTCGACTGTATGGAATTCGACCCCAGTCACGTCCCAGAAAACAAGTGCTACCATGACGAGGAAGCGTTACCATGGATAATGGACAACACTCCCTGGTCCTTGATGCCACCTTCAATCGACCTCAAATCCATGACCTTTGAATTCAAGGGGACTCTTTGCATCTGTGATACCGATTGGTGTAACGGGGCCCTTCCCTAATGAGCTGCCTGCAGTACCCTTCTTAAAAAGCTTCGAGCTGAAATTGTCACCAGCTCTGGGCTTCACGCTAATGGCCTTTTCCGTGAATCAAACGATTCTGATGCATCGATGTTAATTAATCAGGCCAGCCTTCGCAAAGACTTGACGCTTCGTAGATTAGGCCTTTAGCTATAATACATGCATTTCGCCAGGAGCTAAATTTATCGCTTAAAAGTTGAGACAGATTTTTTCCCCTAAACGCAGACCTCCGTTAATTTTTACTTCACTAACTGAAAGTATGGGAAGGCTGTTTCCAAAATTGGTCGACAAAGGAATGAGTTGATGAACATGGGAATTCAGGTAGTTTGGGCACCCTGAAGCTTGAAAAAAAAATCAAGACCGTGAAAGCCAGCTGACACTAGGACATATACTTGCCGTTCTGGTAATAATCCTCCTGGAATGGTGCAGAAAACTAAACAAAAAAGGGGCAAAGCCGGTGGATGGGGAGAACAGTTACCAAGCTCTACCAACAAAGACTCGACGCAAGATTCTAAGCCGGCGTTTGGTTCCATTATAAACATAAAGCCTAGCCGAGAAGCCTTCTTTACACACATCCATTTTTAAAACAAAGTCAGAACGCTCAAAGGCTGAAGGGAATTTACGGATCGCTGTAAGGTTTTGCCGTAAGTTTAACTCTGCAAAATATTTCATAAGATGCAAGATATGGGGCGGAGAGAACCCCCCCCCCCTTCCTTTGTGTTGGTCATTGCGTAATCGGCATCTCAGGTATTCTTTACAGACTTCTAGGGGGATGTGTCAGATAACAATAGTCTAGAGTGTGTAGGGTTGGACATGGGGGGAGGTGCCCATTGGCCCCATATCGTCCATGGTATCAAATATTCAAACTCACACAAAATGCAGCTCTGCTGAGGTTACAGTCTTGATTACTAATTCTACTTTTAATATCTATATAAAAGTGGTACGACGATTAAACAAAAGACCATTAGCTTCAGTGCATTTTCGCGCACAACAACGAATGAAAATAATTCGGATGTTGCCTAATAGTAAAGAATGTTTCATATTTGTGTAGGGCCCATTTTTACTTGGATGTCTTTTCAACAGAGCAACGGGTCTGACTCTCGGGTGCAAGAGAGCCCGATCCTTAAAAAATATTCAACCTTCTTTTAAACTGTTTCCAAGTCAGTTTGACACGTCGTTGCTCAAAACTGAATACCTACATGTTTAGCAGAATGTATGACAAAGGGATCTGACATAACCGAAAGTTCAGTTTAAAAAAAAAGTCACTTTAAAAACATGTCAATACAAGTACTTCCTAAATCCAAAACTTCGTCCAGAGTTGCACCTGCTAGGATAAAATAATATATAAATGACAGCTATTTGATTCGAAATAAAAGCTTGCTTACTGTGCGTTTATCCTAAATCAGCACTGAGTCGATTGCGTCTTTATTTTCAAGTTTTCTTTCTCATTTGCTTCGTTAGCGAATTCGACTTAGCAAATTTCACGGAGTAATTCACCAAAAATATTAATTTATACCTGTTAACCCAACGTAGTCAATCAGGAAGTTTCACAATATTGTGCCTTGAAGAGTTTGCAACTCGTTGGCCAATCACAATGCGGAAAATCTATCGATCCCATGCGCGTTCGGAAATGAGCGACAAATTTCGCTTGTTGTGACTGGCCAACGCGTTGCAAAACTCTTGGAGGCGCACTTTTGTGAATCGCCCGTATTACAGGATGGAATGACAATTAAGAAGAAATGCTTGGTTTTAGAGTTGGGAGGAAAAACTCGGACAAGTATTCCAGGGGAAACCCACGGAATCCGGCAGGGAGTAAAACCCAAACCCACATGCTGACCTAGGTGGGACTCGAACCCTGGTCGCAGAGGTTGAAGGTGAGGGAAAGAGTCATACCAACCCGACATCTTGATAAATAACAACATTCAATATTTGTCCGGATTTCTCCTAACATTTACTCTAATTGGTCAGTTGGATTGAAAAAGCAGCTGCACATTTTAAAAGACAATAAATTTGAAATCAATTCAGTACAAAGTTCATTTGTCTTGATCATATTGTCATCGTAAAACCTCTTGCGAAGAATTCAAGTGGGTTATGATCAGTCATGCGACGCGGATCTATCTCTGGGAACCCGTTGCAGTCATTCCTCCATCATCACGTGACCTGCCACTTTCCCTGGTACCCACCGTCCAGCCGTGCCACAGTCTGTTCCGCTGCCGGTTCCCGTTTTGCAACCGACGCCTAAACACCTTCGGTCGGTCGTCCTCTTGGCTATTCGTCGCTGGCTCCAGGCGCGCCTCGGAATTGCTATTCCTGGGCTGGATTTGCAGGAACGCCCGTATGTCGCTCTCGCTGGTATCACTGCGGCGGAATCCGAAGGCCGATTTCTTGGTTGGCGTTGCGGCAGACAGGCAATCAGCCTTCCTTAGCCCTTCGTGAACTTCATGGATTACCCTCAGGTAATGGTCCTGAGATTCCCCCTTCTTAATCACGGCCAAGATGTTGCCATGGTGATCGCGCCACTCTCCCGTCTTCTTGTCATACGAGCCGTTGAGGGAGTGTTCCACTATGTCCGCGCCTAGCAACTCCTCGTGCAACGGCACACGCAAGCCCATGGTCATATCCAATAGTTTAAGGCAGATGTATGACGTCACAGCCGTCCATGCAACTATGGATACGCAGGCTAGTGCCTGGACGCCTAGTAATTCCCAACCGCCTCCGGCTATCAAACCTGTTATAACACAAGGAAAATATACACAAGCCTTCTGAATGAATCTTTCATTTTCCGACTTCTAATTTAAACCTCAGGCAAGTAAACTGCTTGTTGGTGTAATCAGCTACCACAAATAGTAGCAGTAATAGGAGGATTCAAGAGTTAATCGTTGTTTACCAAAGGTTGTTTTCCGTGGCAACGTGCACAAAATATATCCAAGGCACCAGGCAAAATCTGGCAGTGGTCGAACATGCCTTCAGCTCAACGGAAAAGTAGCCCCCTTTACTGTACGGATTTCGATCCAATAATTACAATATTGAATAAGAAATACATTTGTGGTGGAAAGAGACGTTAAATGTGGTGGGCGGGCGCCTTAGCGTGTCATTACCGTGCACAAATGTCGACGAACAAATCTGAAACTTTATCATAGCTAAGAACTGGTACCAGACCACTATATATAGGAATATGCTGAAACAAACGGGCTTACCACCTCAGACTACTGTAATGATTGCACTTGTCGAATACTTATTATAGGGGAATTCGACAACCAGAGTTAGAAGCTTTAGTGCAGTGGGACAGGTGGTACGCGTGTGTGCCTATTGGACCAATACGGTGTCGCGATTTGCCACAGGCACGCACGCGTCAAGCTGAAGAATGCGAGGTTGATTGCGGTGTCAACGCAAAAATGGCGTCTAATCGGATAAGTTAATGGAGGGGAGATACTTCCCTTGATGGCCTATATACATGGCTTTTCAATAGCTTAATGTGTGAAATAATTCCAACATTTCAAAGATGAATATTACGTTTGTTAATACCAGCTAGGTTGTTTGTTCGTCTATTATGTGTTAAAATGTTTCGTTCATTTTTGAACAGTGGTCAAACACTGGTCATTAGGCCTACCTTTCTTGGTACTCAGAGGTTTCTCGATCCCCAGGCTGTCTTCGTCTCCGAATATGCCGACGGCCAGCAGCCCCCAGATAGCGGCCAGGGCGTGCACGGGCACGACACCCACCGGGTCATCGATGCGGAGTCTCTGCGTGACCTTGCAGCCCAGACACGCTATGATGGCGCCGGCCATTCCGATTACCAGACCGTGCCATGGCTGCGCTAGAGCGCACAGGGCTAGCGGGAATGACGGGGAAAATTAGAGCAGTATAAAGGGTCATTCCATTAACAGAAATTGCTACGATCTATTTTAGTTTAATAGCATGGAGTGTCTCCCTGCTTGTACTATCCATTTTGATTATCCTTAAGAGAAAACAGGTCTTTTGATTTAACAAATTTTGTTTCCTTTTTTTGCTCCAGTGTGTTGCGTGTTAGTTTCACAAGGCTTGAGATCTCCTGTTGTCGTTTGCCTGGATGTGTGAGTTTAATCTTGGCTTGATGTATTAGCGTGTATAAGACATAACGGGCGGAGGTTCAAATTTGGTCTAGTATCCTATTCGCAGAGATTTTGCTCTCAAGCCTTCCTATTACATTTTAATCTCCTAAATTGTGAGTCACCGCTGGTTTCTATTGTGTGTCCATTCTTATTAAATGCTAAGTCATACGTACCAGATATTGCCACAAGTGACCCCAAAATACCATTAATGACGTACGAAACATAAAACTTCTTTCTTCTTGTGATGTAACTGACAAGAAAACATTAATACATTGGTTAGAAAAATCAAGGCTTGGTCTGGCGAGACAAAATGGGGATAAAATGTCATTTTGCCACTCCTCAGTATCCCCAGGTTACATCGACGAGGACTTCAAAACCGCGTGAAGGTAGAACCTCATTAAAATGATTACGAATTAGGCTACATGCAATCGGAAACTTCTCACGTCGGTATACACTAGCCTCTCTATCGCTTTTGAGGCAACACTGGCCAATTAAAACCGATTGTTATTGCTCGCCTGCTCTCCCATGGGGTCTAGCTTTACAGACAACAATCGCTGATCAGAATTACAAACGGCAATTGGGACATGCTTTCCACCACTTAGTACCCCATGGGCACTAGACTTGCAAAGTCTGTGGCCAGACATTAGATAGCAAACAGTCACGAGAAGGAATTGCATATACATATGTCGCCCGCTACCCAATGGGCTCTAGACTAACCTCAGGAATATGGCCGACATGCCACCTCCTATTGAAGCTGTGATAGTTGCTACAGCTGATCTGTTAAAACGTGAAGACAAAAAAAAAATGAGTGAAGGGTTTTTGCATTTGCTTGCCCCCCTCACAGCCTTGTCATCTCCTTCAGGTTTAAGATCATTATCAGAACTGAATAACATTCAACAGACAAGAGCTGGCTAAGGGATGTGTTCATCCCTTTACCCAACCTTCCTAAAATTCTTACATCAAATATTTCGATGCTTGAAAGGTTAAACCTTTTACTAGTATCAAGGAAGAAAAAATGTTCCACTGAAACATCTTTAAAAAGGGGGCAAAGGCTGTGCGAAAGGAAATATCTCGAAGGCTGGTGCAGATAAAATGGAAGTGTTGGTTGTTTAGTGAAAAACAAATCATTGATAGGCCTATGGCTTGGTTATTCAAAATAGCGAGAGTCAACACTTTTTGAATCTTTTCTCGAACTAACAAGTTTAATATCGTTAGATAAATAAAAGAGATGTTGGCAGCCTGCGTTACTGTGGGGCTATTTCTTTTTCGATGTATCTGCCGTGACGTTAATTGTTATTAGTCGCTTGGAAACCAGCACAACAGACTATTTCGGCAACCATATTGGAACCTATGAATTTGGAAGCATCGTACTCATTGGGTAGGTGGAACGAATGTCAGATGCCTCTTCGACCAATAGGGTGACGTGATTTGTCAAACGCGTGCCTCATTTTTTGTCGCTCTGCGAATTTAGGACCATCACAGCCAATACGTACAGCGTCTCCTTACCGTGTGGCAAGTATCCATTTATTCCCCGATATCCCGTATGTACTGCCACAGTTAAACCCTAGCCAGCCCCACCTGCAAGAACATCAACAATTATCAAATTTGTTAAATGCACAGAAAACAAACAAGTGTGTGAGTCTTTTTCCAATTTACCATTGGGCCAATTTCAAAGGACTGCTATATAAGTACAAAACCTCGCTTAAACGAAGGTTACCGGCTCAAACTCTATGTGACTGTCATGCTAACCAGAAAACAGCTAAATACCATTCTGAAATAATATATATCACACAGAGTTTTAGCTGGTAACCTGATTTTCAAGCAAGGTTTTTTTCGTGCTTAAGAAAATTTGTACTTTAAGCAGTTCTATGGAATTGGTCCAGATCTGAGCATTCAAAAGGTGTTGCTCTAATATGCCTAATAGCGTGCTAACCAATTAGAACTATAATTAACTAGTTTGGATGCAAATTTTACATTACTGAAAAATTGTAACCTTGCTATAGAAACAAAAAGGACACACGAAACACAAAAGACAAATTGAATTTCAAGCGTCAAATAATGATAATCCCACTTGTGTAGAAAAATAGCAGCGAGAACATGATATTTTGTCACTCGTGAGAAATCCAAAAGGTTCCGCTAATAAAGTAAGATCAAAAGCATTCACTGAAATACACGGCATCTGGGTCACATATGCGTTTATATTATTTTAAAATCGGGAACAACAATTTTCTAATCGAATACTTGAATTTGTGTTCTGAGATGGTACCAACTTTATCCGAGTTGATTATATATGCGTGTCATATTTCAAATTTAAAAAAATCCAACAGACAAAAAAATGAAGAAAATCAATACAATGACCCAAAGAAACTTCGGTCTTAAAAACAAAAAAACTTCAATACCCATCGTCGTTTTCATGAAGCGGCAAACCTAATGTGGTAATTTTAGGAGCCATTTTGCCAAAACATCAGCACACCTTCAAACGGTTATGGCACTGTACCTACTCGTACACATATTCACAGAGAGAATACCGACATTTATGTGCTAATTTCAGAAGAACGATGCAGCGTTGTGACATTGAATGACCGTCATTAAATCATAATAGGTGAAGGCAATTACAAAAGCAATGGACAAGTTCAGTGAGGCTGAACTAATGCGCAGCGTTCAATGAACGGAGAGCGGCTCCCGATTCATTTCTCGTAAAAATGGAAGTGCATCTCCCACCACTGAGCTCCGCGACTACGTTGTCATGGCAAATAGTAGAAAGCAATTAGGTACAACTGAGCAATTGGAGAAAAACACAAATAATTCATAGCGTCATTTCCTACGTGGAGACACGAATGCATGTTGGCACTTTTTGCTCAGTTGATCCGCAATCGAGTAGCTACTGTAGGTTGAAAAATTTATGGCGTTGAATTAATGAGTTCTAAAAAAATGACAAAAGGTTGTCATTCCTGATAAAGCGCAGAAAAAAATATACATTTCGAAAATAATGAAGCTTACATAAAAATACATGGAGTTATCAAGCCAAGCCAATGAGAAAAACCTGAACAACCTAAAAGAAGATAGAATAAAGGAGAATATTATCAATAAAAGGAAAACACAGGGCCTAAAAAAATAAATAATAAAACAGTAATTCATGTATGGTTAACAGCCATCTTGCCTATTAGTGGCAAGGTGAGTTGCGAAGTGTGTTTCTCAAGGAAAGGCAATGCAACAACAATGGGAAAACGAAAAGACATCATGTTGCTGCACTTATTTTAGTGATTACATTCGCAGAAAGAGAATGGTCATTTAAAGCACGTTATGTTGTTTTCAAATGTACAAAACGACGACAGAGCCTTAAAAAATTTACACTGAATTGCCAGCTTTCTTGCCAAAGTTTCAAAAGAGAGATCATTAATGCAAAATTTCTCACATCGTCCCCCATAATATCACATATAACATCAACAAAATTATGTGACTTTCAAGATTTTAAGACAATTTCAGAAGTCAATATATTTTTGCAGGTGTTTTCAGCAAATTCCACTTCGTCCATGAAAAGAATCGTTTGTTTCCAGCAGATGGAACATCTGAACTGTTGTAAAAGAAGAAATCGACCGCTTAAATTGTTACACCATCTGCAAGGTTATGTTCAAAAGGAAAACAAGTGGGGTACACGGAGATAGCTTCCACCGCTTTTTAGGACAGGTGTCTTTGGAGACATATACCACGGATGCTTGTATCATAATGCAAGCCATATCATGATCCCGTGACCCATTGAAACAACGGTTGCGCTAATTGGGTCCTTGCCCTCCATACAACCAGACGAGAAAGCACAGGAAAACGTCTTGTTGAGGAAATCCGCCACGAACTGAAAAGATGCGTAGCTCGCCCTCCGGCAAAGACATCAATCTTGCCGAGGTACCGGTATTTGATTCGATGGCACTGCGGCAGGTGAAATTTGTTTATGTCAGATTGCCTAGAACTTGTCAGGTAAATCGCTCCACTCTATATGTGATCAATGCACGACGGCCCTAACATCAAGAAGCTGAGTATTTATTATAGAAGCAATGGACTGAATAAGATGATAACAATTCCCTATCGGTGGATTTTTCTCGGCATTCATCGTGGCTTTCAAATCATCCGATTGAACAATTACCGAAATCACCACCGAGTTTTGCTTTTAAATAAAGTGATGACGATTCGAACAAGGTGGAGAAAAAACTGAACGTTTTCAGCAGTACAACTGGAGCTAATAAAATGGTTCTGCTTCAGTTTTTACCAGAAGGCAAAATTTTGATTAAAAAGGTTGTTGATACGAATACAGCATTAAAGGTTAAATTGATTAATTTTGTTTCCCATATCTGGTCTATATGCGTATTCTGGGTATTCATATCAACAAAATGCTGCAGGGATGTGAGTTTTCTTTCAAATTGCACCAGATGCAAGGTTGCTGAATTTGAAAGCGAGTCTCGCTTGGCAAGTTGAGAAACAGCGATATGGCGACACAGAGGGACTCTAATCCAAATCACCATTTTCAACGGTGACCTCTGCTTACATGGCTGATACTCTGCCAACGTTTCACAGTGAGCAATGGAATCATTTGGAAAAAAAATGTGAAAATCAAAAGTGTAATGATATTTTGTGATTTGTCAGCACCGAAACCAAAGCAACCATGTCCAAGAAGGTAAGGTAAGCTACTTTGCCATTGGCGATGTTACCATGGCAACAGCAACGAGAAGATGACAGTGTTTAATAACGCCATTGTATAATTGCAAATATGGATAAGTTCCTTGTCAGGCATGTTGCTTGGAGAAAGTACTCTTTCATTTGAACAGACTTGACCCCAAGCGATCGGCTGTGAGCTCAGTTTTTTACTATATCCCGCTGTGCACAACCAAAGATTCTATGCCCCGACCAAGTAAAGTACTTCACGCATAGCCGTTCTTGGGTTTGTGCATATAATACCCATAAACTCAGCTGCTAACAGAGTTATGTCAAACATTTCATGCGGAGGCGGTAAGAAGTATCAGAGAATCTTTGACAAATTTCTGATGCAAATAGAAGTATGGTTTGATAATTAGTTGTGGCAAATTAACTAAATTTGCGGGAATTGTCATATGAAACAATTGCCTTCTTCGATGATCCAAGGAGCGTCCTGTTTCTTTCTCTGCTTCGCCGAGGAGAAAATGGAACGCCAATTCAAGGAGGCTAGTTTTACCACATCGCCTGAAACAGTGAAAATTTTTTAATATTTGTCTGTCAGACCTAAACGATAATTGTCCTTTCCAGTACAACAAGGCTTCTTAATTTAAGACTGATCCCTCAGGCAAAATGCATTGTTCCCACATTTTTATAGGAAAGCAGTGTGAGGGAGTGACCTTCATATTTGTAATTGACTTGTTCTTTACAGCGACGAGAACAGATGAAATCTTCTTAATGATATAGTCTTCCCTCGAGGCCTCCACAATATACACTTCTCCATTGACACACTGCCCCGGACTCCTTGGAGGAGGTTACGGCTGGATAGCACTCTAGTCTTGAAAAAACCCTCAGGCACGTGTTGGCTCGCATGACGAGCAGTTTTAATAAAAGAGGTGTGCCTGGATGTAAAATGATGCGGAAGTCAATATTTCTGGAGCGTTTTGTCATCTGTTACGGCAAGCGTTAGGCGCAGCTATACGGACAATATTTAATACCATTAGTTACGGCGGGTTCTTGCAAAATAAAATTCATTAAAGGTCCAATTGCAAACCTTTAATGTGCCCATAATATTGCAATCACAGAGATTTAACACAGTAATGCAAAGAGCTTGGGTATCGAAGTAAGTGATTAGAGTTTTTTCAATGGAAAAAATTAGGCACCAAGCTCATTCGTTTTTTCCATCTACCTTCTTTTTTTGGCCAGTGGGATACAGTGCCTACAATTAATTATTGAGGAACCGTCCAGCAGTCTCATTGGCAGATTACTTCGAATACAAATGATGAAATCAATCTAAACGTGTGATGACTGCAGGCTCAGCCAATCAGAGGCTTCGATGGAAGGAGGCAAATACCTCCCGTTCTTATCGGATGAGCAACGGTGCCCGCACATGTGCATGCGTGTTGCCAACTGGCTTCAAAATGGCAGCTTTGTAAGTATACGCCTCAAGGGGATGTAGGAATGGTAACTCAAATCTCTCGAATTCACAGCAATAATCCATCCATCCATCATAATCATTGGAATTGATGGAAGTGTTTAACTTTAACAACTAACGAGTTCTGTCATGAAGCATGTACATGGCGTCGCCATTTCGCCTGCACCGAACACGTTATCTTCATTTGACAACGATTGGCTCTTCCCCAGAGGAAAACGGTGTCGGAGTTGCCTAAGATTTTATCAAAGCATGACAAACACTGAAGTCTCAAGCCTCATGTACTCGAATATTTTTCTACGGAACAAAACTCATGTTGGAGCAAATCGAAAATAAATCTCTAGTGACAACACGAACCCTACTCTCCCTTCTGTTGACACAGCGGGCTGGAATTGAGCTCAGACTGTTAGCACTTATTCAGGATTACCTCATCAACATGGAGAGAAAAATCCAGTCATTATCCGCCGTCCAATTAGTAGTTACCAAGGACTCGTTGGCCAGCATCATTAATTTATGGGTGCCGGGTGCTTGGCGTAGTCGTTCTTGAAATGTATGGTAATTTCCGGGAAAAAAGAGCGGTTACTCGTGGAGCACAAGGCCGCACAGCAACAGCAGTGCATTAATTCTGCACAGACGGTCCTCTGAAGCATGAACTATCAATTACGGTGAAAACCTACACTTTTTAATTTATTTCGAAAATCAACCCCCAAAAGACACACAGTTACAAACCAATCCACATAAACATTTCAAAAATTCCCAAAGACAAACCGACAGATGAACCCGTGCCAATAGATAAAGCCAAGCGAGAAGCGGAGCCCGATCCCGAACTACGAGTAACTACCCCAAATCCGGAACCAATGAAAAACTCTAACTCAACCATGACCAACACGTAACACCAACCAATCAAATATCACATCCCAACTGGCGTTCTTCCATAGGAACCACAAAACGAATTTGGAGTCTGGCGGCCACCCAACCCCATCCAATGGAAACGCGTATTGTTGAGCAAACCACTGATAAGCATTACGTAAGGTGTGTTTACATGATGAAATAACCCTAGACTAATGGGTAAAAGAAAGACTTCTGTTTACAGTTATTGCATATTTGCCTCTACATCGTAAGACCATGAGTATTCTTGAGTCGATGCCGCATTTAGAATTTAGAAATCTTTTCTCGGACTGGACAGAAAAATGAGCCTGCACGTTTACACGACCAGGAATGCCTGAAACGTTTTGGCCCCGTTGCCCCCATTTCCATTAGACGCATTTAAAACCACTGGTCCTTGGTGTAAGCTCGGATCCCAAGGGAATCCTTCGTTGCCCTTAGCAACAGCCTCGTTGTTTAAGCCCCGTAGCTAGCTGTTCGATCGGCTTGAAACGAATTCACCTTGCCTTTCAGACTGCTTGGAATCTTGTACATCCAGAAAACCCACAGGATCTTACAGACAATAAATTAGCAGTCTTGAACCTAAACCTTGCACTGTTAACACGGATATGTTTATGCAATCTGTAAACGTTACAAATACTTTACTCGTGGAGAGTTAACAGTCACAATTTTGGCAGTTTGACTCGAGTCTCAACGAACCTTACCTTCATTTTAACGAATGATAAAAAAATGATTAAACGGTGATTGATATTTGACCATGAAGTAAGTAGGTGTAAAGACGCCACTGTAGGGAAATAGCTAGACTCGTGTCTCCAAATTCATTGCCTCTTTATGACTAAGGTACGTGTAAGTAACCCTCTTTATTGATGTTTGAATGTTTACGATTGCGTAAGCAAGGATACTGACCAATTAACAACAAATATGACTATCAACGGCTTGGCTAATGTGGGGGGGGGCGTTGGGGCGCGCTCCCATGAAAAAAATCGTCGCTCTCCAGTTGTCCCCCCCAGCTTGATGTGATCACGATTATGTAAATGTATTATGTCAGAGATCCAGTCAGCCCCCCTCCCCCATTTTAACGTGAAGT